CTAAATTCTAGTGATGAGCAAGCATAAAGATTTTCTGGGTCAGATTCCTCAACCAATGAAAATTTCCTTATTAAAATGAAAAAATACCTTAGCAACATTAAGCAAGACTTGTACAGCATAGCTGATGATTTCCATACAAGGGACACTACGATTACAACTTCGGATCAAAATAAATATCTTAGAAATAGCTTCACTCTGGGCCATGTTCTCACAACAAAGTGGAGACAATCTACTGACTACCTCTGAAAGGGAAAGAGAACAACAGATAGATTCAGAGCAGCAAGATAAAATTTTAGCTAAAATTCTATGATAACATTATTTGTACACTCAAAGGTAAAAATGCATTTCTAACTTTATACAAAATACTGTTAAAACAGACTAACTAACCCAGGTGCTTTAAAGCCTGAAGAATAGCAGAAAGGTGCTTGTAAGTCAAAAGACAGTGGAGCGCAAGAGCGGTTCTTTGGTACAGCTTATCTTCTTCTCGAATATCCCTATTAACAAGTTGAAGACTTAGTCGTATAGCTTTAATTTTTGTACAGTCACTTCTCTTCCTCCAAAAATATCCTCTCCATAATGCCTTAGAGATAAAACATAGTAATTTTAAGATTATAATCCATGATGTTTTGAACTTATATCTACATCTAATTCCACAAAATATTTTCAGTAAATTTATATGATGTGATCAGATACTTTACAACTAAAACCTCAATCCAGGTTCTAATAAATAGCAAAATCAATTCATCTAAGAAGAAATATGTATAATATTCCTGTATATAAACTGAAGGATCATTTACAGACCAAAGATGTCTAAATCTATTCAAAATGCCTTCATCTCACAATCGTAAACTTCCTCTAGGGAATCTGAAAATAGAGGGCTTAGCAATGATATAGTATTTATGAGTTATTCTGTGGGCTAATCTCAGCTTTTTAAAATGTATGTGACTATGTTTTTAAAATGTTAGCTATCACATAGGTGAACTGCAAACTAGTCTTAATTAAAAATCAGAATATTTTCAATTACCTGAATTTTAGTGACCCCATTATTAATTTTTTCCTGTTTCTTACAGAGGAGAAAGTGTCGTACTGCTTTCTGTATTACTGATGCAGCCTTATTTTGCTGGTTCATACATTCTTTAACTTCATGATGAATTTTTATGATGCTATGATATTTCTGAATAAACCTCTTTTGCTGCAGTCTTGCTCGAAACCATCTCTGTATAAAACATAATTTTTTTTTTACTTTGGATTTTCAAAAATGCATACATGTATATCATACATACATAAATGAAATAAGTAGCATATTATGCTAAAATATCTTTCAACTCTCCCCAGTAGCATTACTTCTCCCTTCTACATGAGGCAAATCCTTCCAGTCCACGTGGAGTGTGTATGTGTGGAATTTAACCCTGTACACCACCACCTTAATTTCACAATTTCTATCAAGTTTCATTCTGCAAATTGTTTTTCTTTTTTCTTTTTACTAAGGTATCACTGATGTACACTCTTATGGAGGTTTCATAAGAAAAACAATGTGGTTACTACATTCACCCTTATTATCAAGTCCTCCCCATACCCCATTGCAATCACTGCCCATCAGTGTACTAAGATGCCAGAGTCCTTGTTTGTCTTCTCTGTGCTACATTGTCTTCCCTGTGACCCCATACACACCATGTGCACTAATCATGATACCCCACAATCCCCTTCTCCCTCCCTCCCCCACCCCTCCCCTTTGGTAACCACTGGTCCCTTCTTGGGGTCTGTGAATCTGCTGCAATTTTGTTCCTTCAGTTTTGCTTCGTTGTTATACTCCACAAATGAGGGAAATCATTTGGTATTTTTCATTCTCTGCCTGACTTATTTCACTGAGCATAATACCCATAATACCCTCTAGCTCCATCCATGTTGTTGCAAATGGTAGGATTTGTTTCTTTCTTATGGCTGAATAGTATGTTTTTCAATATTTTATATGTAAATATATGCTAACATATAGAAACAGGATTCTTATCCAGAATAAAGAACATCTATAAATCATTAGAAAAAAGAACATTTGACAGAAAAATGGACAGAGTATATTTAAAAAAGGAAACACACATTAAGAAAGCATACAATACACAGATAAGAATTTTAATAACTAACATATATGACATTTTTTTTGAATTGTTAGCAAAGGACACACAAAACAAAAATGAGATATAATTTGCCACTCATCAAACTGGCAAAACTCAGAGTCTTCTGATGCCATGTGTTGGTAAAAATGTAGAGAAAAAGGGACCTTTAGATATACCATTGGGAGTGCAAATGAGTACAATTCAGAGAATTCACAGCCTTATTGCTGTGCCATAAAACATCAACCCATTTCTAATCCATCAGACCATCCTAGAAGTTACATGGCAAAAGGCTGAGTATTATATGACTTTAGCATAAGGTAAATTGAAATCATTTGTTAAATATCAAAAATTTATGACAAAAACTATATTATATTATTACTGCAAAGGAAAAGCTAACCTGAATACAGATGACTGCATTAATCTGCTTATTAGCACTCTTTACAGCCGTGTGACGTTTATACGCCCTTTGAATTCTCAGAGCAGACAGGTGATAGAACGCAGCTGCTGTGAAGTGCAAAAGCCTAATTCTGGTTCTTTGCTCCACAATCTAAAGGAGAAAAAAATATTAGTAACCAAATATTTGACTCTTTAAGGCATTCAGTCAATTATTTTTGTATATCCTCAATACCAAGTTATATAAATTAGTAGTAATAAATACATTTTTAATTATTAAAATTATTTATATTGTAACTCAGAGAGATTATAATCATTTACTGTACATTATTTCCAGTTGTAGTCCATAATGCAGGGTACAGAAAGCAAAACTATATTTTGGGTCCTTTACTAAAGAATAGTAGCCTTTAAGTTACATGGACTACCCAACTTTGGGTACTAGGATTTGAATGTACTAATTCAGAGAGACATACATTAACATTAAGCTGAAAAGTGGTTACATATTCTGAGCCGAACTCTGGGAGGTCGTAGAGTTAAATTGCACAGAATGATCTGAATTTTTCTCCAGTATTAGGCCAGCACAAAGTCCATGCAGCATAAGTTCTCTACAGCATCCTTTGGTCTTTAGGCTTCCAATTTACATTTAGTGAACAAATACAGAAGATTTCTCTTCTAACTTCAAGCTGCTTTATTCTGTCTTTACCAGTGCTTCACACATTTGCTGCCCAGGACATCATGAACCGCTTACAAAGAGCTCTCTGCTGGCGACATGGAGGCTGCCCAGGAACAGTGACTACACCTCAGAGTTGCTGGGTGGCTGCAAAAGCCTCTTTCATATTTGCTGCAGTTCCTCTGTTAAAATTTATTATACAAGAGATGTATTTTGCCTTTTTAGTGAGTGTTTATGGGAAATAGGCTCATAAAACAAAAATCTACAGCAATCAGTTCCGTAGAAGCTGAATGAATTCAATGGCTAATGAGTTCTGAAATTATTCTCCAAATCTAAAAGTTCTTAATACAACTTAAGAGCAAATACTTCCATTTCACATGAGATGTTTATTTAAAAATACTTACTCTTTTTCTCACTAACCAACCACGCACCAGTGCTTGTAAAACAACCGTAGACTTTTTCAGTTCAGAGTATTTTATTCTTTCATGCTTCGCAGCCCTCCTGGCTTGTATGTATCGCTGTATGGTCAAAGCTGCAGACTTCTGCTGAAGATAGACCTGCCTCCCTTTATAGCCTCTAAAATGTGCTTGGATCAAACAGGCAGCTCGATGTCTCTATAAGGAAATTTTTACAAGTGAAATTCACAGACAGAAATACAATTTCAACCTATTGGAGGTTCTTAACTTTCTGGAAGTAAAATGAGACAGCATAATTATGATTTTATTTTACATTTTCAGCTTTAGAATGTCATACTTCATAGATAGAAAAGGTGATATAGCTAGATCTATAGCTGGAAGTGAAGCTTTTATGATGGTGCAAGCCAGGGTCAACTGATACATGTTGCTCTCTCCCTCTCATCCTCTTGATACTCTTCATTGTGAGGGGGAGGACTCCTACCATCTCAGGAGAAATACATTTACTAAAAATGCTACAGTGTAGAGAACAGAAGGGCATTTAAACAGTTAAGAGGGAAGCTGTTGCTTCTAGAAGCAGAGCGACCTACGAACACCTTAGATTCCTTGGCCACATAACATCCTGACACCTGAACTGTATGACACATAAATCAGTCTATGAAGTGAAATGGGAAAGGGTCTGCTTTACAATACAGTTCCCCACCTGCTAGCTGATGACCTTGCAAGTTACTTTCTCTCTGGAGACCTCAGTCTCTTCCTTTGTAAAATGGCTATGCTAATAACTACCTCCCAGGGTTATTATGAGGATCAAATCAGTAAATATATGGTGGTGAGTGTAATAATAATAGTGGCTATATACTCACAGTGACTAGTACAAGAATATCAAAATTTACAAGCAAATGTTAATTTTGATTTAATAAAAACCACAGTTACTGTAGCTATTCTAAAACTTTGATGTTAAATATTTTAAATAGATCACCAACTGTGGCTTAAAGAATACATTACTAAGTATTCGATTTACACTGACAAAATAGGCTACATTTGGACTTTCTCCAAATAAATTATTTATCCTTAAGTTACTTCAACTTTTGGTTTGAGAATATTTTATAACAAATATATAAGTGAAAACACAAAAAGTATTTTTATGAGTGAATGTAATTTTTAGTTGACTACAATAACGCATTTAAACTTAAATGTATAGTTAGGTCTTGAACATTCTTTTTTCTTAGTGTTTTATAAAGTAGTTCTTTGCAGATATGCTGTGTTTTTTTTACACCTACTTTTATCATTAAAAAGTGCTCACGAGCTCTTCTTCCACAAAGTATAGCTCTCCATTTTCTCTGAATGATAATTGTTGATGCTCTCATGTTCAAAAATCTGAAAAGCAGTTATTGGAAAGGAATTTCAAGTTACTTTAACCTATGTAGTAAGTATTTATTGCCTCCTTTCCTAAAATACTTGAATAAGAAAGGCAATGAGAGAATAAAAGAAAGTAGAAAAGTGTAATTCATACTTTGTTTTAGCAATCAGAATTATACACATACACACGCACACAAACAAACATTAACACAATGAAAAACAAGTTTTAAAATTGACAATATTCCACTGGGCAAGAAATATGAAGTTCTAGAATGAAAAGAGAATTCTAAACAAGATCAAAAGAAAGTACGATCACCCAGATCTAGACAAGAGCAGATAAAGGGGGTGTAGAAATAATGGTAGAATATAAAACCTTACTCCATATTGCAGGTGAGTCCTTAGCAGAAGGTGGTCAAAAAGAGAATTTGAGAGGTTAGAGCAGCATCAATCAAATGAGAGAAATGGATCCTTGTTTGAAAGGAAAGAAGCATCATCAAAATATATAAAAAGAAATATTCTGTAAACAGCACTGGAGAAAAAGTTTAAATGTGAAGGCTAGAGATTAAACTTTAGGCATCAACATAGTGGAATCGTGAACACTGAAAATAGACAGGCTCTTCGGCTCTTGGTAATGTGGAAAAGGTAGAAAGATTAACTTCTATTGTCACAGTTCTACGAAAATGAGGCTGTGTGTCAATGAGAAAAATTCAGCGTTTTGATACAGAACTATACTTAGTTCTAACAATCAGAATTTTACACACTCACACAAACACAGACATTAACACAATGAAAAACAAGTTTTACAACTGGCAATATCCCAGTGGGCAAGAAATATTGGTCCTTCATCACTGAGAGTAGCAACTTTATATTAAGCCCTGATTCTACCCATGGAATTGATCAAGGAATTCTTTTAACTCTAATGCACTATTGCTTATAAAACAATTACTCAATTATGGGACATGAACAAAAATTCTTATACTATGAAATAAAAAATAATATACATAATCTGGTAAGAGCTTCTGAAACTTTGTTCAGAAGAAATGATCTAGGAAAAGGGAAACAGAATTAACACAGACAAGTTGGAAATTAGGTCTTCATCTTTAAGGATAAAGAATATGGGGAATAATACGAAGTAAAAAAAGGAAAAATGAGTAAGAAAACAAATTTTGCCAGTAGCTAAATCAACAAACAATATGGACCAGTGCACTAATAAGGAAGATTTACCAGATTATTTCATTCACTTCCCACACGTCCTTGCTTTCATCCCTATAAACCTGAATGAATCAAGTTTAACTAAATTATTTTTTACTGAATTATATCAAAACTCTATCTGCAAAAATAAGATACTCTTAGAGATATAGCTTGTTTCAAAGCACCAAAACGAACCACATAAATTAAGTATTGCAAATATTTAAAAGAAAAATTAACAGGCAGTATTGTTGCATGCAAAGACCCGTGGCTGTGGCATACTACCGTGCTCTGTCCAGTCTGGCAAAAAAGCGGCTCTGCATGAGTGTACAGCCAGATAAGCTTTCCGCGCTTTCCGACACCTATACCAGGCTTGAATCTTGCAAGCAGCTTCCACTTTACATAAATGTTTCTTGGCTTTATATCTCCTCCATACAGCCTATCAAACATAAATATGACAAATATGCAATGAGATTTTTTTTTGTAAATTGGAAGAACTAGTACTAAAGACAGTTAATATAAGGTTAAGCAGACAAAATGAATTGCAGAAATGTGGTCATACGATGACTCTTCTATTAGACTCATTCATTCCTGACATACACTGGCCATCTGAGAACAGTGGTGCCAACATAGGGAACACCTACTATGGGCTTTGTTACACATACTCTGGGGCTGGCTGGCAGCTAAGCCTAATATAACCCTAAGAAATATTTTAAGACTGTAAGATATGCACGATGTCTGGAAAGCCAGATATGTGCTTGTCCTTACCTCAGTGTGTTTGGAAGAACAGTAAGAAAATGAACACACTGACTACTCTACTTCTGGGGAAGAAACAGGCATCCTTCCTACCTGCCACCCACCCACCCCACATTCATCCACCCTGGGTTTGTGTCCAGCCTGGAGCAGAATCCTAAGAGCAACCACCTATCACAGCACCATCAGATTTTTCAGTTTTGGCAATTTTGTAGCTAACTAGAAGTTTAAGTGACAGCTATAACTTATTAATGCCGAGCACTGTAAGTCTTTAAATAATACAGGTTGGCAGTACTATTATTATCTCTAATTGTGAGACCAGGACATCAAGGCCTGAGTAATAACTGGCAGTGGTATTCATTTAATCTGTACAAATATCTTGTGAGATGAAGATTTCTACTTTACAAACACTGGCGTTGAGAAAGAAGAGGCTTACTACATGGCCGGTAAGAGACAGACTTAAGATTTGAACTCATTCTACTTGATTCAACAATACCTTTAACAAATACTACAGCTACACCTCCAAATTCAGTGGACAGGCAAGAATTACACGTATGGTCAAAATTATTCTTGTGATGTCCTTAAGTCACTCAGAATATATTACATATAGTTTTCATGTAACCAAACCATTATGAATGCCATATTGGTATTCATAGTGGGAGCCAGGCAACTGTAATTTTAAAGATTTCAATGTGCATTAAAGTTTGGGACCATTGGTATAAACTAAAAACTGGATTTGTCAAATGTAGTTTTATAATTTAACTATATAAAAAAAGTTGGATTTTCATAAGATTATTTTGGCTTTTCTATCATTTCAGTTGAATATAACATAACTAACACACCCAATTACCACTTCTCCACCCTTAACTTCCTTGCAGCATTTGGAATCAGAGCACTCCTCTCTTTCTTCCTCAACCCTTGGTTTCTTCATACTATAATCTTTCAGTTTTCTTTGTTTCCGCTTAAGGCCATGTACTGACTTCTCTCAACTTCCTTAAATTCTGACATTCTTCAAGGTCTGAGTCGCAGGCCCTCATCTTTTACCCATTTTATACATTTTTCCTAGGTCTTTTCTCATTGCTCCCATGACTTCGTCTACCACACACATGCCAATAATGTAGAAGTTGAATTCTAAAGTCCCCTCCACTCTCCGAACTCCAGACACATGGCCAACCACCTACTGGGTCTCACCTGGGACATCCCAGGTGCTTTAGCATCACATGCCCAAACCAGACACCATCAGCCTGTGAGCCTGCTCCACCCTTGGTTCCCCATGTGGCCACAGTACTTGGCCATAAACAAGGCTTGGTTCCTTTTCTAGGTTCTGTGTAATGCCGATTCTATCCTTCCGCACAGATTAACCCTCGCAATCCCATTGCCCCACCGGACTCCAACTAAACTGTGGTGATCTTTCACCTGACCCACGGCCCAGAGCCTCCTAGCTGGTCTCCCTGCTCTCGGTCTTGCTCCACCTCCAGTTCATCTCCCACATTCCTGCCAGAGTGATTTTTTTAAAATAAAAATATTATTCTGGTCTTCCCCTGCTTAAATTCTTCTACCACTTCTTTTACTCTGGAGAATAAAGACTAAACGTTTTTCTATGCCCTACAAAGCTATCCACAATCTCACTCCCTCTATGACTTATCTAGTCTCCTATCACACTTCCTTTCTCTCTAGTGTTTGAACTCCACATTACCTCCTACAACTGTAATATTCATTCAGTACATTTTACTTGGCTATTTCCAATTCATCCTTCAGCTTAACATCTCAACATTTAAGTGCCAGTTGCTTTGGGAAGCTTTCTCTGACCACAGGACTAGCCTCAGTTTCTCTTCTCCATGTTGCCAGCATTCTCTGTGTTTTCATTTTGCATTATAATAACTCTTCTCTGTTCAATTGAATTCTTGGGGACAGCTACTATGTATATCTTACTGTCTATTCTTATTACCCCCTGTGGCATTTAGCACTTTGCCAGCACTCTACATTAGTTAAATGAAAACATTATTTCTAAACTTAATAACAACCCAGCAAGATACCAACAGATCACACCTAGGTTTAAAGCCCAGAGAATTGCAGGTGGATTAGAAATATCTGAAGTGCCTCTCTGTGTTCAACATCAGCAAGTTATTTAACCTTCCTTAGTTCCTATACACTTCCAAAGAGAATAATACTCTTCAGCCCTCACACTTTGGGAGAATGCAATAAACAAAATAGCATGAAGTTCTTTGGAAACCAAACATGCTACACACTCTGAATATGGGATGCACATCTATCTAGTGTAAGTACCTCTTTGACAGACTAGAGGAATAAAGCAATCCCCTCTGGCCTAAATTATGCCAAGTATCACTTTACCGTAGCTTAAATTTTCCACTTAAAAAAATAATTTTATGCAGTAGGGAACTCCCATTAACTACATTCTCAAAATTCTTCTGGGAGTGCTCTAATGAACAGCTATGGAGATGCATCGAGCATAAGGTGGACGTGTCCAGAACAATCCCAGGTCTGTGCTGTCTTGGGCACCAGTAATAGTTCAGCCTTTTCCCACTTAAAAATGCTCCATTTGGAAGATAAATTAAGATGGTCACAAACTATTATTCTTTAAGACTTGCTTATGTTCATTATAAATTGTAACAAATATTGGCCAAAGAATGAAAGCTTTATTTTTAAACATATAAATACCCAGACTTTTATGGTACTATATTTTTCTGAACTTTCTGTTTCTGTGTAAACCCTTTCATTGTAGCTTGAGTAATGGGAACACTGTTCCTAATTTGTAAATAAACTTCTCTTCAGTGTTCTGCAGACAAAAAATCTCTGTGGTTTTGTGGAAGCACTGCTGCTTTTCTGCACAATAAGAGCAGTTCTCCCATTTGCTGCACCCTGAAATACTGCTGTGAAGTCAAGTGCAGTTTTCTGCTGGACAAAGCTTCCTGGATGCACAGCCACCTGAAGGAGGGCTGAACTCATAGGGCAGCATGCTTCTGCGTTCCCGACCTGCGATCGTTTCACAGAAAGCCTTCTGAACTGCAGCCTCTTAGAATGACACTGCTTCCTTACTATGGAAAGACAGCTAGAGAGGCTTTACACCACTCATGGATCATATATGCTGAGCCTTGGACATCTTCTTGCTGAGTCCCAGTGGAGGACCAGCAGCAATGGCTGCCATCTTCCCCACAGATAAGTTTTCATTTTCTAACTTTCACACCGCTAAAAGCTGCCTGAATAGCTCCTACAGATTTCTGGGCTGCTAAAATCATTTTTCTTTCCATTTTGACTCTGACATATGACCTATAAGGATTCTGTATAACAACTGCCGTTATCTCTGCTTGGTAATCAACTCTGGCCCTGTGTATTGATAGTAGGATGACTGAATGAGTGAGGCTTCCAGGGGCACGTGTTGGCTGCCCTATGTACCTGGAAACCTCCTAAGGAGGCTGTTTACAAGTGATTGCCTGGCTGTGCATGCAGTCTGTGCTCTGTATCTTCTTTGAACAAAAACTACTGCTGCTCTAAAGTGTAGATAATGCCTCCTTTATGACAGTGGCAGCCTGATGCTGCTCCTGAATCTGTTTCCTTGTGATGTCCTGAAAACCTGCCTGAATACAGGGTGCAGCTTTGAGTGCACTGTGTTGAAAAGCTTTTTTTTTCTTTGCTGTGTATTTTTCTTGTATTACTTCTGTAGCCCACTGAAACTTTTGGTAGAAAAAATAGTGCCTACACATTCTACTTGTGCTTTGTAGTATGACAGCAGCTCTGTGTTTTTCTCTTAGAAGCTGTCTTACTTTCATTCCCTTACATGCAGCCTGAATGACCAAAGCAGGAAGCCCTTACCTGACATAACTGTCTCTCTGCAATTTTGCACCTCTGCATGTTCGGTGATGTTCTGAACTAGAATGGAGGTCTTTTCCCAAGTCTGAAATGTAATGTATGTTCTGTGCATTCTGAAAGCAGCCTGGATGCCAGCAGCAGGCATCTTTTTCCTTACCATTCATCTTCCGAATGATGACTGGATTTTAATGGCTGCCTTTTGTAACCATCGGAATCGTAGTGACGCTTTGCACAAGCATTCACACGATATTTTCTCTAAACCCAAACAGCAGTCTTCCTGAGAGACAGAAATCTTCTCTCATCACTGGAGTTCTAAATTGCCTCTGAAGAAGAGTTATGACTAAATGCATAACTTTCAAATGTCTTCTGGTTTTCATCCCACTAAAAACAGCCTGCATGCATATTACAGAGTGCCTTACGTAGACATACCTTTGAAATTGTACATTTCTTCCCTTCACTGCCCAGTACTGTTGCTGTACTGTCCTTGTTACCTCCTTTAGCTTTATATGTGCTTGCCGCATGTATTGTCTGTAGTGACTGAATGAGTGTAGCCGTGTCGTCTGCAGTGTGACTGAATAAGTGTAGCCATGTCATCTGTAGTGTGACTGAATGAGTGTAGCTGTGACAGTCTAACTTTTGTTTCTCTAAAGCTTACCAGAAGAGTATTAATACCTTTCAAAATTGCCAAGTACTTTGCATGCTGAGTTTTGCCTTGATGATTATTACCTGAATTACGACAGCTGCTGTTATCATTTGGTGGTATCTTCTTTTTGACTGATGCATTTTAAACATGGCTTTAATACAAGTAGCTGCTGTGTGCATACGCTGAATATGTCTTCTTACTCTAATACCTCTATAAACAGCTTGGATTTTAATCACTGTCTCCCTTAAATCAAGGTAGTCCTTGCGCTGCTGGTTTGCAATCTTAATACGTCGATACCACCTCTGAATTGTGAGAGCTGCAGCTCTGTAGGTTGTGTTCCTCTTCTTGACTTTGTGAGCCCTGTGTGCAGACTGGATGGTGACTGCTGCTTTGGTGCCCTCTTTCATCTTTTTTCTCACTCTCATACTTCGGTAAGCTGACTGTAAAACTACTGCGGCTGCTTTGGTTTTCAAATACAAAAGGTGCTGTTTCCTTCCAATACTGTAAGCCCTGTAATATGTCTGAATCAGATGAGCAGCTCTTCTCATGCTTTTCCACTTCTTCTGCTGCACATACATCCGATAATATGACTGTATGATGACAGCACACTGGTGCTGCTTCTGGATCTGTACCCTCCCTGGCTTTCCGGTCCATGTATGCTGCAGCGCCATCACCACACAGCGGAGTTCAGCAGACTCCTCACGATGCTTTACTCCTGCCCTCCGTCCTCTCAGATGTTGCTGGATGACTAATACTGATGATTTTAATAGTCTAAACTGACTCTGGGCCTTGGCCATCCTAAAAGCAGACTGAATTTTCACTGCGGCTTGATGTTCCCTTCTGATCTGCTTCCGAACCTTCCAGCCACGATAAGCAGACTGGAGAGAAATCACAGCTCTTCTTGTCTTTAAAAAGTGTACTCTTATATCATGAACAGTCTTGTATGCCCTGTACCATCTCTGAATCTTAATAGTGGACTGAAGCACAAACTGATATTCCTTCCTTTCTCTATGGGCTCTAAAAGCAGTTTGAATTTTAAGAGCAGCTATAGATTGTTGTTTGATTAGCCGGCGTACCTTATAACCTCTGTAAGCTGCCTGTAAACAAGTAACTGCCCTTTGGACGTGCAAGTCCTTCCTCTGACAGGCTTGCACTTTGCATGCACGATAGTGATTCTGAATGACAACAGTCGCCCTATAAACATGCAGGTAGTGCTGCCGTATCTTCCTCATTCTGAAGTGAGACTGCAGGGACACAGCAGCTTTTCTCTGCAGCCTCATCTCTCTAACCAAGTGTCCTCTAGCAAAAGCCTGCGATTTGGTACAGGATTCCTGCGCCGGCATGGATTCCTCCCTCTTCAGCGCTGCAGCTGCCCTGGAACGGTACCAGCACTGGAGAAACAGCACCGCTGCTCTTAAACGTAAATACCGTTTACGAGTTTGTTTCATCTTGACAATTGATTGTAGCTTTACCACAGCATTTTTTAGACTCAGAAATTTCTTTTTGGAAATATAAGCTCGATAATATGACTGGATCTTTATAACAGCTATGAGGGCATGCATAAACTTTTTCCTGGCTTGCATCCCTCTACATGCAGACTGTAGAACAACGACAGCAGAACGTGTTTTCTGGTAAGATGCTCGAACTTCCACTGCTGAAAGGTAAGCTCGGAAATGAACCTGAATTACAAGGGCGGCTTTCTTTATCTTCTTATATTTCTGCAATTGATGATGTTTTCTTACATGTGCCTGCAATTTGATGGTGATTTTCTTAAGGTTTAGAAACTGAAATCTGTCTCGTCTCGCTTTCCAATATGACTGCAACACACAAGCAGCTCTCACCTGCCGGAGCGCATCACGGGCTCTCCAGGCCCTGAAGGCCTTCTGTAGTAGGACAGCTGCAGCCCGTTTCTGGAGATAGTGGGTGCGCTCAGTCTTCCCTTGCAGATACGCTCTGCAGTGCTTCTGGATAGTCAGTAGAGCCACTTTTCTTCTTTTGTATAACTTCTGGGCTTGAACGCACCGAAATCTTGTCTGAATGGTCACAACACAAGATCTAATGTGCGTATATTTCTGTAATTCTTTGTGCATTCTATACCATGATTGTATGATGACAGCAGACTTTTCTTCTTTAGCTTGTTTTCTGACATGCCACTCTCTAAAAGCTCTTTGTAATATTATCACAGCTTTTATTTGCAATTGCAGTTTACGTTGCTTCCATCTTCTGAACACAGCCTGGATAATAAGGGATGATGATTTTAGAATTTTGTATCTCTGTTGATCGCGTTTTCTTCTTAAGTAAGCATGCCAGTGCCTCTGAATTGTAACTGTGGCCCAAAGATACCGTTTATAAGAAGTAACTGCAGTTATCATTCTTATCCTAGATTGCAGGATTACCGAATAATACTTTAATTTCAGAAATCTTTTTCTAGTGGAATATCTTCTCCAACACCTCTGAAAAAGTTAAGAAAGGACACAAAGTAAAAGAGACATTACAGTTAAACCTTTAAAATATTAATCTTTCTAACATCTTGCTTAAAAATAACACATTAAGTTAAAAAAAGAGTATATTTAAAAAAAATTAATTTGTCTCTTTTGTTTGTTGTCTAGTTTCTACATTGGTACAGTTGTAGCCAATTCATATATTCTTGTCTCAATCCTAATATATTTTAATAATAACTATGTAACCATTGTTTTCCCGTTTGGAATGGAATGACAAATAATTTACAGTTATCAGATAAATGTTATTAAGAGGATGTTAATTGGCATGAGAATGTCTTATCATTTACTGTCCTGGTCACAGATTTTTCAAATAGCCAGTTCAAGTAAGAATCATAACAAAAAGAAAAGAATCCTATAAAGGGTGTTGTCTGAATTTGGGGTCTCTAGGAAGTGAGGCATCGGTCACCCACAGACGAGGGGAGACATCACTTTTGTGAAGATAATAAAGATGCTGTCTGATCCTCATGTAGCCTGCCTCCTTGGAATTAAGGTAACATCTCTACTAATGATATTTATAATGCATTTGTATTCCAGAGACATAAGAAATAAGCAATATTTATATTAGAGTAGAATTACATATGTTAGAAGAAGAAAATCAAAATAAAACTATAGTAATTATCTGCTATCTATTCATTCTAAGTAATATCCTAAGAAGTTATTTTTTGGATCTTATTTTCCCCTTATATCGAGGTCTCTAAGCTCTCTTACAATGATTGGCAACTGTTTATACGAGGGATCCTATAATATCACATTATAGGCCTTATACTATAAACAGGAATTTGAGAAATAGGTAAGCTAGGTCATTCAGAGTCATTTTCATTAAGATACAACTTCCTAGGATCATGGGAAGATGGTGGCGTGAGTAGTTCAGAGAAAATCTCCTCCCCAAAACATATATATTTATGAAAATACAATAAATACAACTATTCTTAAAAGAGACACCAGTGGATGCAGTACAACAGCCAGGATACATCTACATCTGCGAGAACTCAGCATCACACGAAGGGGGTAAGACACAAGCCGCAGCTAGGCGGGACCCAAATGCTCCCCCACCCC